TTCCAGGACTAAGGTTTATGGCTAGGGTGGGGGATTGGGGGAGCAGGATTACATAGCACAGAGGACAGCCAGGACCCCTTTCTGTGTGTCAGGGTTATTTCTAGAGACAAGGGGTGTGGGGCAGACAAAACAAGAAATGACTCACATACGTAAGTGCACATAACGAGGGCTAGACCTTGGTAAGTGTTGCAGTGGTAGAGGTACAGTTAGGACTAAGGTGATAAAATTGAGTGTATGGGTGGGGTACAGTTCACAGCGGAAATGGGATCATCGCCAGAGCTCCCAGCAGGTAAGGATTGTGAGGGGGGACTTTTCAGGGGAAATAAAGAATGGAAAAGAGAGAGCACAAGACCTATTTTGAGAATGGCTGACAAATAGTGGCTTGAATCTGAAGAGAATAGGCCAGCAAGGTTTGAAAAGTGGCTAGGGACCAGATTGTTGAGAATTTTTAATACCATGTTTAAGAGTCTAGATTTTCCCGGAGCTTCATCATATTGTGTTCTCTACTCTTTCTTGTATCTCTTCTATATTATTTGTGATTCACTAAAAAAAAAAAATACCACTGTATTTAGCCTCTTTTGTGAAAATGCCACTTCTTTCTTTTGTATGGTATGCCCAAGAGCATACCTTTGTGATGTGTTGTTATATGTAGGTGCTTGTATACATGGGTGAAGTTGGAGGGTTTTGAGAAGTGTCACTTAAATTTTAACATGAAAAACAAAATATTCTTTATAATGCAAGTAAATTTGCAATTTTCACCCAGTAGAAAATTGATGTCATGTCTTTGTATTTTATAGGAATGTGACAAGTGTCAGAGGTAAGTTTTTATTTTTTTCTATCTATATGTGATATAGACCCTCTGATCTTTTATCTGATAGTAACTGTATTTTAAAATTTTATTTTACATGACAAGGCGGCAGAAGAATCGAGCGTTTTGCTATTTTTGCAATTCTGTACAGAAGCTACCAATTTGTGCACAGTGTGGTAAGTATATGATAACAGGACACCTGCCTTTCATCAAACATTTGTTTGGCAGTTAATCAGTTTGAAACTGTGGGTTTATCATTATTGTTTATAATAATGTTATGCCTTACCAGTAATAAAATGATAACATGTTATTTGGCCTACTGGAGCACTATCAGGTCTTGATTCTGTCTCCTTGATATGATGCTGGAAATAGAATACTGTTTAGATAAAGGTTACCAACATGTTTTAAATATTAAAAGATCAGATTTCAGACTAATAACACTTGGTGACCTTGGATTTTTAATTATACTACCTTAGTCATGTTGATACCCATTT